CGCACCCTGGCAGCCCCAAACCAGCAGCTGGGAAAGTCTTCCCTGCAGAACCGAAGCCACCTCCCAGCCCGTGTTTGACAATAAGCTGCTGCTCGTCTCTCTTGGGGAGGAAAAAAAACCCCCAACCCCAACCTAGAGAGGTTCCTCGTGGCGTGGGTTTGGTTTGGCTGCTGCGGGGTGCTGAGCTTTGGGGTGGCCAGCGAAGCTGTGCCTGCTTGGGAAGGGTGGAAGCCTTGCTGCATGCCTTGCTCCTCCTGGGAATGGCTCTTCCAAACCAAAATGCATCCTTTAGCCAGCTACTTGGGTGCTCAGCAGCTCATGAGGGATTTTGGGGGCCTGGCTGTGGAAATCCAAGTTACAGGACACCAGTTGGCAAATCTCCATGCTCCCTGGAACTTCCCCTGCCAGCAGGCACTGATGTCTCGAGCTGGCACCATCTCCTTACTGCTGGGCACGGGGCAGCTTGTGGAGATGTGGCTTCAGTTTGCTGTCAGTGCTGGGGGGGTCTGTGGGGAAGCTGCGACCCGTTTGGGCTGGCACGTGTCGCTGGAGGTGTCCCTCAGCCAGGCACGTTGCGTGGGATGACACTAACCAGAGCTAATCCTTTTGCTCCGTTCTTTGGAGAAGGTAAATCAAAGAGCACCTCACTGGGTGGTGTGTTGCATGTGCCTTGTGTAAATTAATCTTGCATCACTGATAATGGTGAAATGAGCTTCTCGATGCCTTTCTGTCACTTAAACTGAATGAATCACTGTGTCAAATGTACCCTGTGTCTTAAAGTGTAACAATTGTAGGCTTGAGGCTACTGGTGGCAGTGGTGCAGCTGGAGAAAGCCCTCAGCGCTCTCTGCACGTGGAGATCCTCGTGGCTGGAGGTCTCTGAGCTGCCTGTCAGCCTTGGATGTCTTTGTCTGTTGACTTGAGGAACTGGGGAGTCACTAACAGGAACCAGAACTGCACAAAATATTCCCATCGGAGATGGGCATAAACACTTTGATGCAAATTTTGGGTCACTTTAATGTTAAAAGAGGCAAACTGTAGCATAACGACAGCTGATATTTTTGCGTAGGCGACAGATTTCAGTGCGACTTCAGTGGCCAGGAGACTCGGCAAGTGGTCCCCAGTGCACCACCCCCTTCCTCTGGCTGCTTAGCTTTAACATTTCTGACATCACTTTGACTATTCCGGAAGAACTTCATCTCCCATTTGGAGTAACCTGTGAGTAACTGGGGCAAGGCTGGGCTTGCCCAGGGACAGAGCCTGTGGCCGTGGAATGACTGGGAGGGTGGTCATGGTTTTGGCCAGCTGAGCATTGTCCTTGGAGGGGGAGGGTAGCCCGTTTCGGTCACTAACCAGAGCATGTCTGGGAACCTCCTGAGTGTTGAGCACAAATAATTATCAACCACGTTTTCTTGGGAGCTTGCTCTGCCTCGAGCTGAGAGAGGGTGAGCAGCACTTGTATATTTATAGAGCTCTTTATGGATTACCCTGGGTATCCCATAAAACCAGACTTCCCATTCTGCAGCTGGGAATGTGCCCAGTTGGTCTAATACTTGCAGAGGTCTCTCGTGTTTAAAATGTTTCCTGCTGTGTGTAATGCTGGATCCCCAGGTGAAAGCCCTTCACCAAAGCTGCTCCTCGTCTCTTCTAGGTTTGCATTTGAAAGTTTTGCTGCGAGTCTGAAGTTTTGTTTTAACCTGGTATGTGAAACAGGTACTGCTGCTTTGTCTGCAACAAACGCACATATTATTTAAGGGGGAGGATGAGTAACTTTGTCCGCAGTTCTTAATTTTTATTATTTTTTTTTTGCCTGCCATGGAATTCAATGTGTTTCCTTAAATGTATATTTAACAATGCAGGAGTTCATTTGTGAAATGCTGCTACAGTTGTATCACTGGAGCTCAAGGAAATAAAAAAATCTGATTTTTGTCCTTTTAGGCTCATGCTTGTGGCTTTCCTGAGCTGTGTAGTAGTTGGGCATGGAGCTCCAACTGGGGCTGAGCAGCAGGAGGGTGTCGATGGCTCTGCTTGGCGGCAGCAGGGCAGGCTGATCTCTGGAGGAATGGTGCCTTCTAGTGTTGCCTGAACACTTGGCAGGCTCAGCACCTCATCATCTGAGTCAGAGAAAGCCCTTGGTCAACACTGGAGGACAGAAATACTTCTGGGAGGGGTTTTGCAGCCTGGCAGGAGCTGACATCTGTATGACGGGCTTTCACTCCTCTAGGAGCCGCTGAAGAGTTTTGAAACTTAGTCCTTTTGGCAATGAATTGGCTTCCGAGATTTGCAAAGCAAACCTGCAGACTGTGGCTTGTTCAGCAGCAAATTCCCAAATTGGAATTTCTTCCCCCCTGGAAGGAAAGTGCATGAGGTGAAGGCCCTGAGGGAGCTGCTTGTTTGCTGAGGTTTCAATAAGATTTGCTGTATAATTTGAAGGGAAAACCCCAGAAGTTATGAGGCTGCTTTAGATCTTACCTTCCCCTTCAATGAAAAGGAGAAGACCCATCTGTTGGTGTGGCTTCTGCACAACACGGGTGCTGGGGGAGGAATGCTTCCCTGAGCAGCATCAGGCTAATCGGAGCTACTGACCTGCCCCGGAGCCTTCAACTAAGCTGTCCCCAGGGCAAATGTGTCCCCCAGGGCTTGGCCAAGGTGGGCTCTGAAAGGAAAAAAAGCGAGTCTTCACCGAAACATTTCAATTGTGGAATCTCCAGCGCGGAGCGACTGTTTCAGCTCATGGTAGAAAATGTTTCTGGCTCCAAACAGAGGTTTTGGTTTCCAGCTTGGTGTCTGATGCGGGGAGCTTTGCCCTGGTCTGGTCCCAAGGATAAGTCAACTGTAGTTGTTGTCATCTCAGCTGCTGAGTTTGGGGGCTCTGAAGGCAGAGCAGCGTGGCTGCAGGGTGGGATAGCAGGACTGTGGGGCAGGGGTGCCCGAGCAGCCTGCACTGCACCATGGACTTTGCTAAAGCTTGGACATGTGCATAAGCAGAAGAAATTCCTCACCTCTTTTGGTGGTGTCAGAGGTTTTTTTGGGCCAAAGTTTGGTTTATCCAAAGTCTACCGTACCTTATTTCAAACTTTAACTCTTTCTAATGTTGTCAGGAGTATCTGAGATTCTTGCAGGTCCTTTTCCTCCTTTTCACCTCTAATAAATGTGACAGAACTGCCTGGTCCTTGTTCCAAATCTAGCATGAAAACCAGGTTGTCTTAAAATAACATTTCCACTTACCAAGCACTGTGCATAGAAGAGTCTGAAACTCCTTGGACTAAATTTCCAGCCTTAAATTCTGGAGCTGGGTCTGAAGGATTATTTTGGGAGCAGCCTCCTGTAGTTTTGACAAGGGGATGGAGCATGATTTGTTTCTTCTATCAGTTTTGTTTGGAAAACCACAGGTTTGGAATAGCTGCTGGGTATGTATGCACCTTCCAGTGATGCAGGAGGCGTTGATTTCAGTGTGGTCCTGGTGCAGCGATGAAGAGAGCCACCCAAAATCCTAGAGGTTTGGGATGCAGCCAGCCAGCAGTTCTGCCCCAGCCCCCCCTGGGCTGGCAAAGGGCAGCTCAGCTGGGGATAAGGACGATGACAGGGTTTAGCAGCAAACACCTACCTGGGGAGCCAGGGCTGGCTGCAAAGGGAAGCAGCAGCAAGATGCTGCTGTCCTTGATCCCCCCAAAGGACTTTCCTTTTCTCATATCTTCTCCCCTTTTTCTTTTTTTTTTTTTTTTACTGTCACTGAAAAATCAGGGAAGTGCAGCGACCTGTTGATGTCCTGGGGTGGAGAGCAGGCTGCCTCGCCTGGCTGATGAGCTTAAGAGACACGATCAAGAGATAAAGTGCTATTTGTCCTCAGCTAAATGTTTTTGACAGGTTTATATTTGTTTGCATTGTAGAGTAAATATTTAACCCTCCCTTCCCGCTGTGTGGTAAACGTGTGTAGTACTGAAAGGTGAGGTATGTAACATGCTTCGTGCATACCTCTTAAACACTAAATACCTTCTTTATATGAAGGCTGGTGAGGACCCCTGCATTTCTCTTTGTCACAGCCACCATTCAGCTCCATCTTATTCCCAGTAATTCCCCAAGAAGTGAGAAATGCCCCTAATACGTGTCTGCGAAGGAGGGGATTTTTGTGCTGAGCTGACATGTGGTTAGAGGGGACGCAAATTACGCGATTAAACTTGCAGCTGAATTGCTGGTAACAACTATTTCTGTCCATCCATCTTCTCCATCAGACCCAGGGGGACTAGGGAATTTTTACCCCTGGATTATTCAAGGCTGTCAAAACTCTGAATTAGGTCTACTGAAATAAAGGAAAAACACCCAGGAAAACTAAAAACCTCTGAAAAGAGACTCTGTGCCCTTGCAAGATGCCCTGGGAGCATCCTCACCTTCCTCACCTGCCCAAGAGGGAGACGTGGCTGCAGCCCTCCAGCCCCGACATCCCCAAGGACTCCAGGC